GAAATGATTATCACAATTGCGCCGGAAATATTTCAGGAACCTACACGCTCCAATAGTGATTTGATATTGAATCGTGTGTGCCAATTAATCAGTCAAGTTTTATCACGTGTTACAGTGCCACCTGGTTGCTTTCAATTCATAGTCGATATGTGCTCGTCTGATTTGAATTCTGTTACCCACTTTCCCATCATTACCGCAGCGCTGGGTATTTTGTTGGCATTGCTGCGCTCAGAACTTGACACAGATCGTAATCCACAAAAGGTATGTCAACACTGCAAATATCATTTTTGTAGGCCTTTACAAGCCTCGCATGCTCTTTTTGCAGGTGACGCGCCTCACACGTGCTCTTCTCACCGATCCCAGCTTTCAGTTTGCCAATTTGGAGTTCGCTTTAGGTGAAATAAAAACCCCAATATTACAACAAGCTGAAATACCGCGTGGTAATTTTGATCCGCAAACTCGCGCACACATCGATCCCCTAACAAATGATGTACGCGTACCAATGCCATCGACATCAACGAAAAGAATACGCGCCGATCCACCAATAATAAAATTTGCGCTCTCTGATTGTGAGTAAATCTTTCTCTTACTGCTTATACAAAACTAAGTAAAGCGGTTTCGTTTTTCTTTTGCATTAGATCCCACGCATGTAACTCCGCTGGAAATTGATGAGGTACGCCGCCTCATCGATATGCTACGCTTAAAGCAATCACTGCTTTCAGACATTACACTGCCTTCCGAGGACTCACTCTGTCCAATATGTTGCGCTAAACCAATTGCCGTTATTTTCACGCCCTGCAAACATCAATCGTGTAGCAATTGTATTATGCAACATTTAATGAACTCGAAAGTGTGCTTCTACTGCAAGACACTTATCAAAACTATCGAAACCAACGAAGGCACAGTCATTTATAACAACAACGAATATACATCAGCGCCCACATTCTATGAGATTTAGTTAGTTTGTGCGCCAACTACTACTACACACACACACACACACACACACACATACATCAAACAACTGTAACCCACCTTGATTCTAGTCAAACCATTGTGACATCTTTAACTAAATTGTATTACTACATACATACAACTAAACTGCCTAAAATTATATCCTTGAAAATGTTTACCAAAGTTACAAATTTTACAAAAATGAAAAAAGAGATGCATTTGTTTTAGCTTTAAATATTATTGTGATACGCCTTATTGTTCGAACAAACACACTTACACTTGCCACACAAAGACGCAAGCACGCTTCGCGAATGCAATTAAAGCAGTTTCAATTTGTTTTACTGCACTTTAATAGCACGTTCAAGAGCAATTTATATAAGCAATTTTAAAGACATTTTTATATTTTATTATCATTGCAAGCCAATTAGCAAAATTCAAAATTTAAATAAAATTTAATAGAAAATAATAAACAAATTACAAAATAAAAAACTTGCTTTTTTGCTTATGCATAAGGCGGAAAAATTGCTGCTAGAGAAACAATATTTTTGCAAAATTTATTCGTTGCAAATATACAAAAATCAATATATTATAATATACATATGTATGCATTTACAGAGTTTACTGTGGAAAATAGTTCATAAAATAAAAAATGCTCTTATTGTTCTTCATTAAACACTGCCGAAAATGTAAACACTAAATTTAATTGGAGTTGAGAGCAGAGGTTGTAGAGAGAGAGGGAGAAAGAGAACGAGAGAAGGAAAGAGGGAGAAAGTGAGAAGGAAAGACAAACGGAAAGAGAGAAAAACAGAAAAGGAAAGACAAATGGAAAGAGGGAAAGAGAGAGAAAGAGATAAAAGAGAGAGAGAAAGTAATAAAAAGAGGGAGAAAGAGAGACAGAAAGTAATAAAAGGAGTGAGAAAGAGAGATAGAATATAGAAAGGGAGAAAAAATATAGAAAGAGAAAGGGGGAGAGAAAAAGGGAGACAGTGTGAGAGGAGCGAGAAAAAGAAAGTGTGCGGAAGATGGAAGAGACGAAGGGAGAGCGAGAGAGGAAAGAAGAATGGGAACGATATAATGAAGAGTGCAAGATGGAGGTTGAGATTGAGAGATATAGAGAATGGGAAGAGAAAAGAGAGGGTGAAAAAAGGAATGAGGGAAAGATAGTGGAGAAAAGGAAGAGAGGCTATAAGAAAATGTAATTAATCGTGGTATGGTAGCGTTTTGGTAACATTTATAAACGAAGATGAGCATCGCTACAGCGGATAAAAGCTGAGCTAAACTCAGACTTCTTAAATCTTTCCAATACTCTGATTGGTGGACCGCAAGGCTATTCAAGGACGAGAGTGAAAAAACGCTAGATGATACATATAAATTAATTTTTTGCAGCTAAACCTAAATAGAAAAAGCTGAATCGGCAGTGCTGATGCAGTCGCAGCTCGTGACGCGTTACCCGTTTATGCCAACGCATAAGAAGACCCACGCGACCCTCGCTCTTTGGTCGTACGGAACGGTGGATAACCAGCTATCTGCGCAGACGCCAATCATCAGTCGAATTTCGTAACGTTAAGTCCAAGCCGCATGGTATTAAACAGATGTCGTCCTCTACAACAACATTAGTGTGCCAAAAGAACCCAAAGCGTTTCCTAATTAAAATAATATGAAATCGATTTGTTTTTTTTAATTTTTCAAAATATTTTAATCTTTTTAAAATTTTGTTTCACTTACAAAGCTGCCTAAATATAACAAAGCACAACAGCGACTTTAGTAGCGAAAAAACATTTTTGAATTAATGCTTTATAATAACCCTTTTTTGAGAGTACATGCTACATACAGATGTGTCTTAGTGACTTCTTGATTAGCTGCTTAGCTACTTTTTTAAAAGTACTTTTTACCACTGTACCTAATACTTCTAATTTTTGTTTTTAAATAATTCGAAACATTAACAATAATATATTTTGATTTAAATAACTCACAAATAGCTTCACTATTTAGTTAGTAAGTAAATACTCACATTTAAACACACAATTATGTGTACATACATACATACAACTTATAAGTGTTTTCTGTGTTTTACTTTTGTAGATTTCAAGCAAATACTACATATGTACAACTAGATTTAAAATTTCCTTATTAGTCTTATTCAATTCTTTTATCCCTAGCTTTTCGTTGGCTTTCCTAGAAAAATATCTTTACTTAGGTAATTTCCTTTTTTTGTACATTTCTTTTATAATTACAGGATATGCTTTCACTATTTTCATTTCATTCAGGTGGTACCTTTACATTGACATTGATTTTAACATTTAGAATTTCAATGGTGTACAAAATTCAAAATGTTTAAATTTTTCTAATAAATTTAAATTTTTATTTTTTTTATTTTAATGATAATTTACTACAATACATGTACATTAGGGTGCATCACTCACAGATACAAAAAAAAAATAAGACTTTTGCCAAAATATTTCAGAAGCGTATTAATAAATACGTGAACCTTATATTAATATTAATTTTTTATTTTTGTTTTATCAACGAACTCAAAATTATGAGATTTTTGAAGGTATTTTCAAATCGGTCCAGCTCACTTAAATCTTAATATTTGGTTGAAGTCTTTAGATACATAAAATAAATTTTATAATTCCGGTAATAAAATCGCGATTTTTGTTGGTGAGGCACCCTAAAGTACATACTTATTTATGTATATTTTTTACCTCCAGCTTTTCTCTTCACTACTACTTCTGCTATTTAAAATTTGACTAGCCCATATTCGTATTGTCGTTTGAAGAGGTATTATCTTTAGTATACAGTTGCACGTGTTTATTGTTTTGTTTTATGTATTCTAACATTTAGTACTAACATTTTTCAACTCTACGTACACATCTCTATGTATGTATGTGTATATTTGCTTTTCTTTTCATAAATATCTATGTATAATATCTGATTTATTATACGTATATATTATATTTTTTTTTGCAAAAACTTTTATGCTGTATCTCCACTTGGCATTAAATAAGAACAATTCGAATTTAAGCGTTGTATGATTCATACAGTGTCATTTAGCACATAAATGTACGTTTAAGGAAGAAGAAAGAGCCCTAACCCCGCTTTCTGTCCCCTTTCCGGATGTCACTGCCGTTACACAGATGATTGAGTCTCGAGAGTACAGACCTTCTTCATCAGATTGGACGGTGGTAAACGATTTTTTCACGCAGCGATCGTTCGCGATGGACGCTTGACACGTTCGATTGATATAAATCCCTATAAACCTAATCTCCTTTTTAATAAAAGCAATGCGAAAGGTTATCGATAACGAAATTAAATCGAATGGTATGAAACTGGCCCATCTGCATCCAGCTTGCATATAAGCGGGGAAGATCCACGGGCACTGCTTTGTACGTGCTGAGTACGAAGATAGAGGGTCCCTTTGAGTGTGGACAAAACTGGGCTATGTGCCTTCCTCGATATTAAAGGAGCCATATTATGGGGGGGTTTTTCGGGCACTCGAGAAATGGATGGTGCAATCAACTATCCGTAGATGTATTGCCAAACTGCCCCAAAAGAGAATCTCTGAAACTGAAACTGCGGGTAATGTGGTACGGTTGCAAACAATAAATGGATGCCCGCAAGAGGAGGGTAATGTCATCCTTCCTTTGGAGCGTGGTAGTTGACGGACTGTTAAAGATCTTCTCGGACATGCACAGCGTTACTTTGACGGCTCCTAAACACGGCATTGGCGCAGGCAGGTCCCGGAGTATTTTCCAAGTGGTAGTATATGTCACCAATCGGAGTGCAGAAATGAAGTTACGTAGAGAGTATAATAATGACAGAATCCTAACACTTGCGACTGCCAGGGAGCACTTAAGACACTATCATCATTCGATGCCAAATCATCCTTAGCCTTTGGGCGATTGAGAACCTCAACGCCCTTGCTGAAGTCTATAACATTCACCTACTCAAGGTACAAGGTCACCAGGGAATGCAGAGGTATGAGATAGCGGCCGGCTTAGGTAGAACAGCGGTGGCCTCAGCTCCTCATTGGCCACTGCATACTTGAACCATTAGTGTGGATGGACGCTTTTGATAGTACGGAAAGAAGCTGCCTATACGATGCCACGTCTAAATTTGTCATTCCCTCAAAACTCATACGGCTATGTAGAGGGATGTTGAGTACAGCCTTTAGCTTCGTTCAAATTTGGAAAGGTCCCTCTCCGCGCCGTTTGAGAGTAAACCAGATTTATAACAAGGCGATTCACACTCCTGCGAATTTTTCAATCTCATGCTAGAAGGCGTAATAAAAGCTGTCAATTTGAATCGCAGTGGCACTATATAGAGCAAAAGCAAGGTACCTTTGGGGTGTGTAGATGATATTGAAATCGGTGGCTCGAAACCCAGGGAAACCCAGCACAGTGTTTCAGTATAGAAAAGGAGGTTGGTATAGCGGAGAACTAAAACAAGATAAAGTGTTTTCTTAGCACAATTAGAGTTCAAGCGCTTTGGAACACAGGTCACAGGTCGGGAAGTACAAGGAGATTGAGGAAATTTTGGTCTGGTAAGAAGAGCTTAACAGGGAAATTTTGGCAACTTTCTTTCAACTCACCACAATTTTTCGAGGGACAAAGGTCTTTCGAAAGACACTTGTAAATTCTGGCAACTATTTTTAAAGTTCTTCTCAGTATTTCGAAAAACTAAATGACAGATCTGTTAGCGAGGAGATCTTAGCGTTATTCTGTTTTCCTTTTAGCGATAAAATAAATTAAAGTAAATTAAAAACTAACAATGATAAAAAATTGAAATAAAAAAATTATAATAAATAAAAAAAGTAGTTTCTAAAATTAAATGAAATTATAAAAATATTTTTTCTTTTAAATTAAATAAAAAAATATTTAATAGTAGAAAGTAGCCTTTTAAATATTAAAAAAACTTCCTTTTGAACAATAAAATCTAAGAATTTTAAGAAAATTAATTAAAAAAAAAGTATCTTAAAACTACAATTTTTTATTATTTTAATTTATTTTGTTTCTTTTTAATTTAATTTTCTTTTAAATTAACTTTAAGAAACTTATTTTATTTTGAAGGATCTGGAAACGGGGGAATCTTAGCCATATTATGTTTGCCATATAAGTATTGCCATATTAAGTATTCTAAAAATAAAATGAAAGAAAAACTAAAAATTAAAAGAAATTTGAATTAAAAAATAAAAAATTTTAATAATTAAAAAATAAAGAAAAGTAGGTTCTAAAATTAAATGAGATGACAAAAATATTTTTCTTTTTAATACTATAAAATCTAACAATTAAAAAAAAATATAAACAAAATAAAAAAATATTTTAAAAAATAATAAAATAGCACCCTAAAATTAGAAAATATTCTTTTTAAAACAATAAAATCTAAAAATTTTAAGAAAATTCAGGTCAAAAAGAAAAAAATAAGTTTCTAAAAATTAATAAATTTTTTCCTTTTAATTTTATTTAATTCTTAGAAACGCATAGTTTGAGTTTTTTAAATTTAATTTTTATGCAATTTTTAGATTATGTAATTTTATATTATGTTTATGTTTTTTACCGTTTATTGAACTAATAATTATTGAATTAGGTTTTCTTTTAATTTTTGAGAAGTTAGTTTACTGTTACAGAATAATTTTCCAAAAATTAAATGTATTTCAAAAAATAGTTGCGTTCCAGAGGCTTCACGATATTCACGAAATTCACAATTTGCAGGAACAGCTGTTTTCTCCATTAATAAACCTTATGGAAGGTGGTCACCTGGAACGACTTCCTGTAAAAACCTGCAAATCGTGAATCATCTGGAACGCAACTAATGTACTGTAGCTTTTAAACAATAAAATCTGATATTAAAAAAATGCAATTAAAGCAAGAAACAAATTCCTCTACTCGAGGATTCGAACCTCGAATTGCACGCAAGTACTTTGCTCACTCGGCCATTGCGACTCAAGTGCTTTCTGTCAAAAGAGCTTTTCACCAGACAAGTTTGCAAGGGAGCTTTTTTGTAAGACTCTCGAGCCAGAATAAACAAAATCTTTCTTACTATTTTGCCTACTGTCTTTCAATAGTCTTACAATAGAACTGCAACTATTTTAGCCAAAATTGTCCTGTAAATGTACGATTTGGTGCAAATTTAAGAAAACTAAAAAATTGATTACAAAAAAGAAAATTGAAAAATAAGTGAACATCATTTTGTTAGGCCTAAATTAAAGACTATAATTTGTAGTCATCTTATAACTAAGTAATTGTGTACACACTACATACATATGTACCAGCACATGCTATTTCATTGTTCATAGGGCTCTACTTTAATATTAAATTTAATTTAAATAAATATTTATTTTCTTTGGTACTATTCATGGTTTTGTTTCTTATGTTAGTTTTTCCGCCACTAATATACCAGAGTACATCTGTGTGACACCTTCACGAGCACAATTCGTATAGCCGGCCGTCGCCCTTACAGCAATTGACATGCATTCGAATGCACTCTATGTCGCCCATTAGAGTGATTATAGCCTGCACAACACTGATGACCCGATGTACGCGCGTGACTGAAACTATGACTGTTGGCCATTTTAGGTTGGTGACCATGATGACAAGTAGCGTAGTGCACAGACGAATAGCTGTGATTGTGACTGTAAAAAAGATTGAGAAAATAAATTATCCATTTACTTATTTCAGGTAAGCATCATTTTCGGATTACTCACCCATGATGTGCTATGCCCGAATCTGATAAGGAGTTTGTCATTTGTGGACCTGGTGGTGGTGGTGGCAAAAAGAGCGGACAACCACCACCGCCCTCATCGCCACCACCTTCATCCCGAAAGGCAGCCATCCGTCGCATATTCGCACGCTTGTTTTGCACATCAACTTCGCTCGCTTCTTCAATCATTCTGTCCAACTTTTCTATCGCTTTTGTTTGTTTTGCAGCGAGGAATGCTTTACGTGCTGTCTTGGACATTGGTAGCGGTGCGGAATTGGAGCGAATCGGTGGCGAACAGGGCGATAAGGATTCGTGTGATGACGTACGACTGCTGTCGAATGATATATTCTTACTTGCTGGTATAGGTTTCGTAACGGATGTAGTGGGAATCGCAACTGCCGTACCCTTCGGTATCGCTGGCACTGAGGTGGAGGCTGCAGCGGCTTCCGGAGCGCTGGTTGACTGTGCCGTCTCTGGTTGCGCGGTTGGTGGTGTGACAACAGGCTCCTGCGGTACGGTTAGGCTACGTGAGAAGGTGATTTTTCTAATTAGAAAGAGAAATTATTCAGAAGTGGAAGAGAAAGGGTGATTAAGAAAGAAGAGTTTTCAAAAATATTTATGTGGACTTAAACGGCTAAAAAATGTGTTACTTTTTAATTTAATATTTAATGATGAACAGTTATAGAGTAAAGTTTTTATATGATTAACTAACATGCCAAGACCGGTATATAGAGGAAGATATAGAGAGTGTGTTTTTGAATTTTTTTTTGTGGAATTAGGAAGAACTGCAGTTCTTTTTAACGCCGATGATGTTAGCCACAATTATCACAAATCATATTTCATTTCTAATACCTCTACGATAAACTCGTGACGATCTCCGCATAAAATTAGCTTTGAAAATCCGTAGAATTCCCGAAATAGAGTAGCTTGTAACTAATTTCTCTCTCAAGTACGCTTGACATGCTCGCAATGCGCCGACACCTACCTGGCTTTGGATTTCTCCAGCGACGCTGATGCTGACGATGTCGATGGTGCCACTTTGCAGGTGAGAGTTTCACGAGGTGGTGCTGTCGATGGTGGCGTAATCTGTTCCATTGCTGCCAGCTCTTCGGGAGTAAATTGATCGGGATCATTTGAACGTGGCTTTGACGGTGCGCTGCCAATGCGGAAGGTAGGCGCAGGGCTGTAGGGGCAAAGCGCTGAGCTGGTGGCACTATTAACCAATGAACTTCGTGAGTATTGTAAGTCTTCCAAAAATTCTTCTGTATCTAAAACGAGGGAACCGAAAATGTCGCTAGGCGAACGCATGAAAACGTGCCCCATCGAGTTTGAACGCGATTCACGACCACGCTCATTATTGTTAAAAGCATTGCGCACCGGTGAATTTGCTATGCTGCGACGTGCAACATCTGTGAAAGTTACCGGCGAGTATATACGTCCACGTTCCTTGCTGGCACTAGTCTGTGGCGTTGTTGATGTACTCGTCGCCGGATCCATTGAGTTTATCATAGCGCTTGTGGCATTGGCTAATTGCATACGTTCGACGGAACCTATAACCGGTTGAGCAGCCGCTGGCATAATCGCCTTCAGCGTCTGTGACACACTCAGGCGACGATCGGATGTAGATGGCGCTGTAGATGGAATAGAGCTAGTTGTGGCGGTGGCAGTCGGCGCAGTGAACGTCGAAATCGGGTGAAATAGTTCGGGCGGCAACTGTAATGATTTACGATTTTCACGTTCCTCCAGCCAATAGGTTTTCATCGGACCCTTACCCTTCACATCGATCTCACCACGCTCAGTCATTTTGTAGCAAGGACTTAGAAATTGCTTGGCTGGCTCTGAAACGTGCACCTTCATGGCGGCGCCCGTAGATTCCATGCGTGACGCCGTATTAACCGAATCACCAAAGAGACAATAGCGTGGCATTTTCAAACCCACAATACCAGCAACAACTGCGCCGGAATGCACACCAACACGTATGCGCAAATGTTGGCCTGTCGAGGGATCTTTCAGATCCGTTATGGCATCAACCATATCCAAGGCCATATCACAAACTTTATCCGCATGATTTGCAGACTTTTCTGGCGCACCTGACACAACCATGTAGGCATCGCCAATTGTTTCAACTTTATATACATTATTTCTTTCGGTGAGTGTGTCGAATATGGAGTACATTGCATTTAGCATGGACACCACCTCCATGGGTGTGATGCGACTGCAGATTTCGGTAAATGTGACCACATCAGCAAAGAGTATGGACACACAGTCGAACATCTGTAAAGAAAAAAAAAAACGAACGAGAGGGATTGACAGAAGTAAGGCAGAGCTTAATTATTCCAAAATATTTTCGAAAGAAAACTTTATTAGACCTCTTGCGATTGATATACATCTTGTGATACATACTAAAAAAAACGAATTTGACAGGTGGCAACGCTCTTTAAAATCAAGCTTTCGTTGGCAATCCGTATTGCAATAATTCATTTAACTGATTAATAAAATTGTATTTAACTTTATAAATGAAGTGTTGTTTTTAATCTCGTTCTTCTGGCATCCTTATTGCAAAGTATCGCTGAACTTAAAATTTAGCATTTTAAGCAGGTGGTAATCCTTTTCGAAAAATATGCTATATGCTAATCCAGGTCATAAGCAATGTTTTTGCCAAATTTTAAACGAAGAAAGAGTAGCAAACAAATTTATAACGTTAGTAGAATTTCATCTAACTTTCAATTAAATTGATTTGAAATGTCTAAGCCCGAAAAAATATATTCGAAACAGCTTTCCTCGAACCTCTCTCATTGAATACCCATATTTAAATATTTTAGTTAACTTGCGTCTTTAATTAATTTTGGATTTCTAAACAGGTGGCAGCCTCCTTTAAAAATATTTTGGAATACAAAATTTCCTAAACTTCTATTGTTTGATACCCTTATTAAAATATTTTGTTTAGCTTGCTATTTAAATTCATTATCACTCTTTGAACAGGTGGCAACCCTATTAAAAATATTTAGAAATTAAGCTCTCTCCTCAGACACCCGTATAAAAATATTTCATATTGTGGCGAATACTGCGGCAACACAAAGCGAACAACGAGAAATAGGCAGAATGTTCGAGGAATGACGTAGAATGTTCCACAAAGAGAAACGTCAAGTTGGATGAACACTGCGAACAGCGAGAGAAAGAGAATGAGCGATAAACTTCAGAACGTTCTAGAGTTGCCATAAGTGCCAGCGCAGGTATATAAGGGCGCCGC